ATTACTTGTGTTCTAACTTGACCAAGTATTTTTCTATTTCAGTTGAATTACATTAATGATCACCCTTAAGTTCATATATTTTTGCTTATGTCATGGATGTTCTCACTAGAGTTTTGATTTGACTGGGTCAAGTTGAGGATTGGAGAAAAGTCTAATTTTTCAGATATATATATAAATATAAGGTATTACTTGTGTTCTAACTTGACCAAGTATTTTTCTATTTCAGTTGAATTACATTAATGATCACCCTTAAGTTCATATATTTTTGCTTATGTCATGGATGTTCTCACTAGAGTTTTGATTTGACTGGGTCAAGTTGAGGATTGGAGAAAAGTCTAATTTTTCAGTTAAAGAACATTTTGGTCATTTGGACCCTTGGTTTAACTGTCGGTAATTACGGCGGTCAAATGACCGCCGGTATTCAGTAAATTTTTTATATATAGTGCTGGTTATGAAGGTTCTCAACACTAAGCATGCATGTATGAACAAAGTCTATATAGAAAATCATTTAAAATTTAAAAACTGACTATTGGATATATCATTGTATTACAAAAATTAATTTAAACATGCTAAAGTTTTATTCAATTTTTTTCTTGAAATAATCAAATCCAATTTGATTTTGTCAAATAATTATCTCCTTCATTCCAGATGTATTACAATCGTTAATTTGGATGAGCGTTTCTCAGGATAATATGTGCCATTTTGTCCTTTTCAAATAATTAATAAACATTAAGTTGAATGAGCCTTTGATGTTTCAATTTTACTGAAAATTTTTATTTATATATTTATTTTTATCAGAATAATTTGTGCCACTTTGATTTTGTCAAATAAGTATCTGCTTTGGCATTTCTTGGGATTGCATTGACGGGGATCCTATATATAAATGGCTACAGACCTCTCCGTAACTCATATCAACAACTCTCATTGAGAAAACAATATTGTTATAAAACATGAAAGAGGAAACTGTTATTTTTGCCATCATAATGCTTCTTTGCCTTACATCAGTTGTATCTACATCAGGAGTAGCCTCCTTCTACGCTGAACCATACATTCGTAAGTGCCAACCTGCTTTTTTAGTATCTTCTAAGGCTTCATTTGGGACGGCTTTCTTAGTGTTTCTTAAAGAGGCTTTTAAGTGCAAAATTTTTAATTTTTGTACTAAAAAACCACTTTAAGAAGCAGGAAGAAAGCCGTCCCAGGCTTCGTTTGGGACGGCTTTCTAGTTGCTTCTAAAAGCAACTTTTTAGTATAAATTTTTTAATTTTGTACTAAAAAATTGCTCTAGGAAGCAACTAGAAAACCATCCAAAAGGATGCCTTACTTGTTTAACTATTAGTTTATGTATAATTATAATTACTCTTCTATGGATGTATGCAGCATCTGCTTGCGGGCACAGCGAAAATATAACTAACATTATCTCAGTTAGTGATGCATTATGGGATAAGCGAAATGCTTGCGGGCGTAAATATACAGTGTGGTGTAAGCCTGAATCAAGTAGTGAAGGTATATTTCAACCTTGCACGAGTGATGTTGCAATAAACGTATATGGATATGATGTTACAGTAGTTGATTATTGCGGGCAGTGCAATGGTTTCACTATGCTTCTCTCTAAAGAGGTTTTCTCAGCTTTGACCAATACAAACCAGGGCAATATTCAAGTTGAATATTTGTTGCAATCTAATTAATTATGATGGTGGTTTTAGTACTCATTTATCATAATTATCTGCAGGTAATCACTAACACTTAATTTTTTTTGGAAATTGCGAAAAAACTATTATTGTATTTCATGATAATATTATGACTTAATTTATATCTCGTGCTTACAATCTTATAAAGTTTTTTTCTTCATGATTATTTTTTGCAGGAGCTTTAAAATGGCAAAGAAATTAATGGCATGCAGAAGTGATGTCAATTATCTACTCTGTATTAATTTCTCGTTTCTATTTATCTACTTATATGTTTGTAAGATGTTATTTCTGAATTTGATTTGATGTTTTTGTTCAAAGAAATTTGTAATCTCTTTCTCGCTATCAAAAAATAGGACTAATGCAACATCAAATTAGATCTTTCCTAGCGGTTTTACCAGCCACAAATTTTCTTGCTGCGGTTTTAAAATTGTTGCACGCCCGATGTGATTGCAATGCGCTGCAACGACATTCCGTGATGAATTCATGACCGTTGGTTCGTACCAGTTATTGCAACGGCCTTAACCGCCACAATATTATAGAAATGCAGCGGTTATAACCGCCACTATTAGCTAAAAAAAATGATTCACAGAATTTATGTGGCAGATTAAACTGTCACAAATATGTACTTTAATAGCATAGCCACAATAGTCCATAAATTAAAAAAAAAAAGGAATTCGTAACTTGCACTTCGTTATGAAGATAAAAGGCATATGCATGAATTGAAAGGTCTGCCTACTCTCTCACAGACACCAAATTATTCTCTCTCCAACTACTTTAATTACAGCAATCTGCTGAAGCCTTTTTTTGTTTCTTTAAAACAAAGCACAAGTAGACAGACAATGAAATAGCAAATTTTATGATTTTAAGAACTAAGGAACAGTAAGTTTGTAAGGATCGCATGCTCAAAAGATCTATTAAATGAATACTCTGCATCATGCAACTATCATGTTAGAATGTATTAAGGTGTCAGTGCATTCAATATTCAAGATTTGCATTAATTCACCCTTACTAATGATAACAAAGAAGAAGAAATAATAATAATTAAGATAAATATGATACAATAGCAGTGAAATCAATCATGTAAAACGGCCAAATATTTTTAAGCAATACATATTCTGAAGAAAAAAAATGAATTAATATGCATTAATCACAATAAAATCAAATGATTTTGAAGGGATGGCATAAAACATTAAAACCTACAAATATTCCAAATGACAATAATTGATGAGAGATTAAGAGCAGGCAGAATTTAGTAAAAGCAAAGATCACCAGAAGTAACCCAAAAAAAGAAATACCAAACCTCTGCCATCTCCAAACTAATATTTCAAAGAGAGAAGAGTTAAACACATAAACAAAACTAGAAGGCAAACTCCACACCACCACATGAATACATTGCCCACCAATATATATAAGAGATGCATAAAGTGCCTAAATCAACCAAGTAATATAATGGCCACAAAAAATAGAAATAACGCCATATTATCTCAAGTGAAATTTTTAAAGTCATTGATATGTAAATAAGAGAAGAGTATTCATCATTCATATTTGGTAATCTATAATATCAAATCTTTGAGCAACATCCCAAAAAAATAAACTTTCATACCAAGATTCATTTTAAAATAATTTATCACAAACATGGGTTATCTTATCTTTCTTTCATAAGATCATCTTTCAGAAGAAGTTTCATTTACACCCTATATTTTAAAACAAGATTGTAAAATATTAGTATTCAAATAACCAATATTAAAATTAAAATGTGAAATTTTACATACCATTTGTAAGATTATTTGAGGTAAATTATTACATAAATTCTCTCATTTCAGTACATAATGAGTTGACCTGCTCTCTGAAATTTACTATTTAACTTAAATGTCTTTCACCGCTACTCCTGCCCTCGTTCTTGTTATGAGAAAAATATCGTGTAGGAGTGACACCAAACCCTTGGGTTCCGACTCTGCCTAGGTGTTCAAGTCCCATAATCATACTGAACACCCTTTCGTTAGCCTCCACATTCCCATCCTCAGCCAAAAGCTCGCAAGCTTGTATCTATGTTATAATAAATTTAGTTAACTTTTTTTTTAAGAAACAAAAATAGTAACGAATTACAAATAAAAAATTTATAGCTAGAGTGAAATTACACATCTCTGTTTAACATCTTCAGATGATCAGGTGTCATCTTTGTGTAATCTTTTAATTTTTCATAATAGTAATCTATCATTGATAGCCTATAACAACAAATTTAATCATTATAAGTAATTAGTTAATAAATGTGAATATAAAATTTATATAAATATAAATATATACCACCACTTGTTGCCTGCGAACAGAACTCACGTGCTCGATAGTGTGAGGACAGGTCTATTTCTTTGCATTTGTAGCATTTATGACGGCCCTCTCCTACTACATATGAATCTAACTCCATGCTGATTTGTAAAAAATATATGATTAAATATAATGATGATACTAACCTTATCTTTTGGTTATAACCACTAGGTGACTAGCTGACACCACTGTGCTGCATCTACACCAGCTGGAATGGACTCCATAATTTCCTCGATAGGTCGGTTATCTCAGTGCTCAGCTTCTAAATCAGTCTTATGATTGTGTCACTTAACTCCAAGGGATTGAAGAATCTACTAATGTATATGCTCAGGAAATGTAAACTTTGATTGTAATATAAAATATTTTATTACTCATAACTGAAACCTTATTATTGAAATTTATTTAATATTTTGCTTGCCTCCACTTCATCTAACATTTTTTTCTTAAAGGGTGATCCATACCCTTATTTCTCCAATCTAGGAGTGATATGAGTGCTAGTATAGGATCTCTAGTAATGACACCTAGATATAGTCTTAATAGGTCAGACTTTGAACTGTTGCTTGGCACATTATTCTCATTCACCTCTATATGAACACGTGTACCTGTCAGCATATTTTGAATGTCAATGCATGTGATGTGCCTCCTACGACGTATACACCATGTTCATTTGAGCATAAAACATATCATAAGAATAATTATGCAATTAAAATAATTAAATCAAACCTATGAGCCATATCCATCATTTGGAGTCTGAGTCTGCTCACAAGTAGAATGATGTGGTGATTGTTGATTGCTGCTGCACTAATTCTCCTGTTGATTTTGCTTACAAGTCGAATCTGGGTGGATAGGAGTAGAAGGGGTTTCATATCCTCTATCAAACCCACCCCTTGATACAACCTTCTTAGCTCACCTGAATGTATTTACGCGTGTCATGTCCTGTAAATGTATAGTTTAATATAATATCAAAACTCACAAAAGTAACAAGAATATAAACATGCTAAAGAATATAGATATGCTAAATGTACATGTAAATATAATAATGGGTATCAAGTTTTATATGTACATGAAATATTACCAAACATAAAGATTTGCAACCTAATCTTGAATCATATAATAAAGCATTAAATATTATAAAATATAAAAGTATAAAGTTATGCCCCTACTTATATTTGTTTGCTATGAGAAATACTTGAATCATATACATCTCTAGGCCTTAGACGAACAATAAAATTCCAAATTCTATTTTTAGGATCTTGAATGTAAAAGATTGGTTCAACTTGTGAAGAGAAAATAAACGGATCATCTTCTAATTTATCACCAGTGTGAATAAGACATGAAAAATTCACAAAAGTGTAACTAAACTAATCTTGTTTTACACTGGTGTTAATTGTGTTTACCTAATTGCATTTAAATAGTATCACTTTAAAATTGTCTGAATAATTTATCTTAATAATGTCATTAATTTTCTCGTAGTAACTGAAAATTTTAATTTATGTACTATTAACAACACCATAATTTTGAATTTTCTTATTTTCATCTCTTATTTTTACTAGAAGGGTACACCATTAATAAAAGAAATCTTATATGTCCGTGCAATTTTATTGAGCCCATGGTCAGGACCTTAATTTCCACTGTTACTTCATTACCACCATTAACCATGACCTAAAAAAAGTATTAGCCTTTACGCAAATTTAAATATTAAATAAAAATATTAAGTTTAGAGTTTACTATTATTCTTAGCCATTCATGAAACTTTTCGTTAATAAGTTTCTCGACATCGATCACAAGTTGTAAGATATGTGTGTTGGTGCCTCTTTATTTTCTTATCATCTTTGAAATGTTCTCTAAATGGTATAATAATATCACAATGACGTATCATATATCTATGTGCTTGGGTTACTAATTTCTCATCTAGCACAACTGAAGAGGCCTTCCCCAATGAAATACCACCATTAGAGAATATAAACACATCTTTCTTTTCAAGTGATAATGCATTTGTTCTAGTATTTTGACTATACCCCTCCAAATATTTGGAACAAAATGAAATCCCTTCGCAATGGAACCTCGGGTTGTGCTTTATGGCCAACATAGTCCTTTAATATCAAGAAAAATTTGCAAATGATATAAACTCTTAAAATGCTTATCATATGCGTGACTAAATAGAGATAATAAGTTATATCTTACTTTTCAAATGGGTACATCCATTGGTATTGAACATGTCTACCTAATTTAACTTCCTCTACTAAGTGTACAAAAAGATGAATCATGATCGTGAAAAATGATGGAAGGAATATTTTTTCCATCTTGCATAATGTCATAATGATATTATTCTATAACATCTCTAACATGGTGAGAATGTTAACCTTTGCACAAATTAACTTTAGGAAATGTGATATCTCCACCATAGTGCACATAACTTCATATGAAGGCCCACATGATCAAAGCGCAATGGGTAAAATGTCTTCTATTAGAACATGTCAATCATGACTTTTAAACTCATAATTTTATAAGTAGCAACATTGATGCATAGCCTTTAGGAAATTTAAAATTCTTCAAAACTTCACCGAACATTATTTTTTCTTTCTTTGACAATGTGAAAGGAGCCGGTGGCAATGAGTTGCTACCATTCTCTAGAGTTTGTGGATGCAATTCGCTTTTTATTCCAATGTCAACCA